GATACTTCAGATCAATCTGAAATTTTCAGATTAAATCAGTTTGGATTGAATTATAATCTAAAAAAAATCTGAACTGATCCAAAATTTTTTTGGATTGATTTTTTATAATCTGAACTGAACAAAACTGAACTGATCCAAAAATTTTTCAGATTGATCTGAACCGTTTAGAGCTTTAATTATATATATCATTTGGTTAAAATTTACCAAAAAACTTAAAAGAAAGTTAGAAAGTCAATATAATAATTTCATTTCATTAAAAATTTATAAGTGTTATAATAGCAATTATTTAAAGATTATCTTATTTAAGTATTATGGCTATCAAAAAAATTATTGGTGTGTTATTATCTATAATGAATATTTACAACTGATATTAAATCTACTTCATGAATTAAAAGAACAAATGTAATTATTAAAAGTATAATTAAAAAATAATTCAACTTTATGTTAACTTGTTGAATATTTAACTAAATAACTTATTTCAGAACTTCAATAGAAAAAGTTTATAAATAACAATCTGCAACTATTAGTTTAATTTCATTATTAATAGGTAAAGATCTTTTTCCTTCAATAGTTAAAATATTAGAAAAATATGTATCTATAAATATATTAACTACTATTAAGAAAGAAATAGTACAATATTTATATTTTCAAACAATTATGCTTTTTTTTTGAATTGGATTTTTTTATAAAATTAAATAAGTTTTTTAATATTAAAGTTAGGATTAAAATTAGGATCACAATTAGAGTTAGATTAGGATTGGGATTAGGATTAGGATAATTAGGAATTAGAGTTAGTTAGGATGTTAAAATTAGAGTTAGGTTAGAATCAGTAATTTAGATTAAAATTAATATTAGAAAAAATTATAAATATAAAAACAGTTCATTTACTTTATTTTTTATTTTGTTTAAGAAATAGAAGAGCAATATAATGGATTTATTGAAGATAATTATGAAGCACAGATAATTAATTTAAAATCAATTCTTGAATCAATAAAAAAGGTATTAAAGAAATTTGAAAAATCTATGATATTTAATCAGAGAAAAAAGAATTTCTTTGTAATTTCTAATAAAGTCTTATTTTTATATTTATTTAGTTACATTTTTAAATGTAATTATTTACCATCACTATTTTTTGTATAATAATGACTTCAAAATGACAGGTTTTCATATTTCAATGATTTTAAAAAATGGTTTTAAGATGCTTATCAAGAAACAAACAAATTTAATTCAAAAAATAACTTAATATTTACATATAAAAATAAAACTACTAATATTAATAATAATGCAAATATTATTCTTTTTATACATAAAATATCATTATTCTAAAAACAGTTTCAATTTTAAAGAAAGCTATTAAAAAAAGAAATCAGTATAGAAAACTATAGGGAATAATATGTGAAATCATATTACTTGCATTAGAATCTAATGATAATAAAAAAGAAATTCTATTCAAGAGTATATTAATAAAGAAAAAGTCAGGGTAATTTTATATAGTAGCTTATTTAAGAAGTAGAATAATTAGATGATTTTAAAAATATTTAAAATCCATCAAGAATCAATACTAAAGGTTAATCTTCAATAATAATTTAAAAGTAGCATTGAACTTGAAAAAAAATAATTATAATATAAAATGGATTTTCATATCAAAATATCTATAAATATTGTATATGCAATCAATCTGATTATAATGTAACAAATCATAAAAATGATAAAATTAAAAAGAATATAATCAATTAATTATAATGTTTATAATAAAAGTTTTAACATATTATATAAACTAATATATTATTACATTACTGATAAATATTTTAAATTTTAAAATGATATTTATTAGTATCATATTTTTAAAGTAACATTTAAGAAAATCACGGGAAATAGGATTTATTATATTAATTATAAATTATAAGATCTACATAATTCATAATTTGTATTAAAATAATAAATATATTTTGTTTAATTTTTATATTTTTAGTTTATTTAATATTTCTTTTATATTTTTTTATATTATATATAATAATTATTTTCTTATATTTTATATTTTATTTTATTTAATATATTTATTATTTTATATTTATTATTTCATAAATGATTAATAAAAAAATATTTATACAAAATTATAAAAAATCAAGATATTTTAAAATCTAGTAATTATAAAAAAAATGAAGTTTAGCTTATTAGAATTGCATAATTAAGATATATCTAATATCATTATATTTATATTTCTAATATTAATAAATCAAAAATTATATTATTTAAATTATTTTAAACCTTTAAAAATAAATTTTATCTAATAATTACTTATTGGATTTTCTTATAAAAATGTATTAAATAGTGATTTTTTTTATATTTCTAAGATTAATAGATATTATAATTTAAATAATTAAATTATTTTATAATAATTATCCTAAGCGAAATAAAGAACTATATATGTTTATGCATTATGAAAAAATTTATATTATATCTGTATGTATTTCTCTATCTATTATATGATTATTTAATAATTTTTATAATCATTATAATTATAGAATTACTATTGATAATATTGTTTAAGACTTTATAATAATCATTATTTCCTAGTTTATTACTTATTTATTCTTAAAAAAACTATTAATTAATAACATTTTTTATATAAAATTTATAAAAATATTAATATTTTTAAAAAATAATTTAAAATGATTTTTAAATTTAAAAAAGAGAAAAAAATTAGTTAGTTCATATAATTAAAAATAATAATACAAATTATTATAAATAAGATTAATGTAAAAATTAAAATTGTTAATAATAAACTAAATATAATAAATAAATTAATGTTAAGTATAAATTTTCATTTTCTTCATATCTTTTATCTAGGATTTAATGCAATACCTATTACTCTATAAATTTTAATTCATCTATTATAATTTTCTATTATTTTATAAGGAATTATAAATAAAAATAAACATATGCATTATTAGTTTATGAAGTCAAACCTTTTAAAATACTATAAGATTTGAAATTCATTAAGATCAGAAATTCAGTAAGGAATGATAGCATTATATTATAATAATATTAACCAAAATTTTTACAAATAGAATAGAAAATTTAGATTTGATTAATAATATATATATGAATATTATTATATAAGAAATAGAAGTGAATTTCTTATATTGATAACATATATATAAATAAATAAATTTAAATAAATTAAATTAATAATACCATTGAAAAATTATATAAGTAGACAGAAAAACTTATAATTGAATATTTTCATAATGAATAAATATATAATTTTTATATCATTTTATAAATTATATATTAAGTAATTTAAATAAGATTTAAATTTAAACCTATATTCTAATCTTAATGAAATAGTTAATATTTTTTTAAATAAAATAATTGTTAATATTATAAATTAACTTACATTTTCTTAACAAATAAATTATTAAATATATTATTAAATATTTTATAATCAAATAAATAACCATTAAAAATTTAATTTTAATTATAACTAATAATTTATTTATGATTAATATGAACATAATAATAATAATATAATACAAGAAATATTCTCTTTATAAAACAAATTTAATGTTGTATAACATTAACTTTTTGTCTCACATTACAGCCGCTTTAAGGTCAAAATTTTCGAGCTATTCAATGAAAAAAACTGACATTTAAAATGATAAAATTAAAACTTGTCATAATTTTTTTATATTTATGTCGATGGATAAACGCATATCAGCAATTATCTGAAGAAGGGTATTCTCTTTTGGCAAATATAACAGAAATTGAATCTCAACAACTCATTGAAGATTTTTTAACGCCAATATTACTTCCTAGAGTATCTGGTAGTGAAGGAAATCTTAAAGTACAAAAATATATTATTGAAAAGTTTCAAACATTAGGATGGAACATAGAAGAAGACAAATTTACAGATTCAACACCTATAGGAGAAATCACTTTTAATAATATAATTGTTACAAAGGATATTAAGGCAACAAGCAAACTTGTCTTAGCTGCTCATTATGATTCAAAATATTTTGAACCACCAAATGATGGATTTATTGGTGCCACTGATTCAGCCGTGTCTTGCGCGATTTTAATGGATTTAGCTAATAGATTAGATCCTTATTTCGATAATAGAGATCCTGAATCTATTTCTACAACACTTCAAATTATTTTCATTGATGGTGAAGAAGCGTTTAAAAGCTGGACTGCTACGGATTCTCTTTATGGATCAAGGTACGAAACAAAAAAATAATTTGATATATTTATGATTTAAAACTGTTCTGATGATTTCTCTTAACAAAAGACATTTAGCGGCTAAGTGGGAAAATGAATATGTTGCAGAAACATACGGTTCACAAAATAAAGCCAAAAATATACTCAGTAGTATTGAAGTGTTTGTATTATTAGATCTTTTAGGGTATAAAGAACCATTAATATCAAATTTTTATACAACTACTTCTTGGTTATTTATTGAACTATCGAAAATCGAAGCTCGTTTATTTAAAAATAAATTACTTAAAATATCACATGTCATGCATGGAATGCATGGGATGCAAGATCCCAAAGAAACCAAGTTGGAAGATATTTCATATTTTGATACGGATTCCATAAACACTTACCAAGCTCATATTGAAGACGACTATATTCCTTTCTTACAAAGGGGCGTGCCTGTTTTACACGTTATTCCTTGGCCATTCCCCGAATGTTGGCATAAGCTCTCCGTATGTAATTAATGAGAAATTATTAGAGAAATGCAAAATATTAATGAATCCTTTTTTTATTTTCAGGATAACGCTACTGCCGTTGATGAAGCAGCTTTTTTTAATCTAAACACCATATTTAGAATTTTTACTGCAGAATATTTAAATATTGATCCAAATTTACCAAAAATCACCAAAAATAATTAATTTATTTAGAAATTTAATATTAGAAAATATATAAGTAATTATTTATTTAGATCAAGTTTTCATAACACTAAAGATAGACAATTCGTCCAAAGAAATCAATTCTTTTTACAATTTGCTTTTCTGATTAATATCAGCAATTTCTTCTGTTTCTTTTTCTTCTCCTTTGATCGAATCCGGCGTTTTTGTAGCCTTTTCAGATTTGTCTAAAATAAAATAGAAAAAATTAAATTTATAAACTTATCGAAAAAATTCGCAATAAAAATGTAAATACCTTTATTAGGATTCATACGAACTGAAGCAGCATCACGCTCAGATTCTCCAGCTAATTTATCAGATTCACCTTCTTTTTTCAATTTTTCATTATTAATAGCTTTACCAATATTTTCTTTAGAGACACCTTCATAATATTTAATGTCCCCTCTTAATTTTGAAGCTTTGCTTTCTGGCATTTTTTTTTTTTAAAAAAAAAAAGTTAGGAATCGAAGATGCGTTTTTTTTTTTTTGGAAAAATTTGTATTATTTTTATATTAATCATATTTGAAATTTATATGACGTAATTATTTCGTATAAATTTTAGTGCGAATTTACGTTATGATCTTATGAAGTATATTATACGTAAGGAATATGTTGAAGAATCAGTTAAATTGTTTTTCGTCGGAAATATGAATATGTTACGTAAATTTACCGGGAAACGTTCAATTAACGATACATCCGGCTATGGAACTGGTTACGCGTCTTAATCTTACATAAATAATATTGTTAATTGTACAATCTAGGAGAATATTTTGATTAAACATACAATAAAATGTCTCATTACTTATAAGGAAATATTTACACTAAAAAAAGTTAATACATAATCGGAGAATTTACTAAATAAATAATAACATATCAGTCAGGTGACATGTCCATAAGACTATGTCGATCATAATTGAGTATCACCTAAAATTATTAACTGCGTTACAAAGCAAATTTAATATATACACGTTCTTTAACTTGAACATTATTAGATTTTTTATTTAAAAAAACTTATTAATTTGCTTTATAATATATGTTTAATGACTTTATTAACCATTAAAATTTGCTTTTTTTTAACACTAAAAGTTAAGATTCTCATGTTATTTACAATTTTTTCAAAAAAAAGTACCTAATGATGTAAAAATTTAATTACTTTTTCTATTCTAATAGACTTATTAAATTAGTTTACTACATAGTTTTTTATAAAAAACAAATAATTTATAAATATATTATAAATTTATATTGGCCAAAAAAGAAGTTTATTTTTTATTTTTTTTTATGACATGAAACATATTGACTAACACATGATTTATCCTATTCTTTGTCTATATCTTGAACAACTTTAGTAATTTGTTCATTTGTAAGCATTTCTGATTTAACTAATGGTTGTAATAATTGTTTTTCAAATGGTTTTATAACTCGACATTCTTGTCTTCTTTTTTTTTATGATGATTCTAATTTATTTTGCATAGTTAAATCAACAATTGATTCTAATTTTATATTTTTTCTTTTTTTTGTATTTTTCTTTAGAATTTTGATCATTTGGTTTCCATTGATTAATACCTAATTTTCTTCTTCCAAGCTTATTACTCTCTTTTGTTAACATTACATCTTATAAAAATATTGATTTAATTTGTAAAACTCCATTTGAAAAATAATTTTTAAGACGTGTAATATCATTAAGAGAAAATTGTTCTGTAATAGTATTAGTCCATAATTGATTTTGATAATGATTATAATCATCAGAATTATTAAATACTATTAAAAGCTTATCAACTAAATTTCACATTGCATCTTTACGTTGGTTAATAGCTTATTCTTCAATTAATCCACAAGCATCATCTAAAAATTCTGATAATAAAATACTATCTGATCTCTTTTACTTTGTGTAGCTTTAATTTGTAACTTTAAATTATCAGCATTAATCACACTTTCAGTTATATTTTGCTTAACAAATTTAACTCTAATGTTTCAAGAGCTTCATTATTATCTATTTTGACTGATATAGCAAATTAAAGCTTTTCTTCTAATTTTGGATATTAAACAAATAAACCAAGAAAATGAGCTACTAAAGTAGAATAATTAGATTTCCAGCCAATATAAATAATCCTGAAAAGCTAGTCAAAGCATTTTTTTTGTAATTGATAATTACTAACTCAAATTTCAACATGATGAACTTTAAAAATTGATGCCTATTGATAATAAAGATACCATATTTTTAGAATAATATTTATGTTAATATTTCGAATTTGTCATATTACATTTATATAAATTATTACTTTTTAAATAAATTTGAATAGCAATAGTAATAGCACTCCAGATTAATTCTAAAATGCGTACTATTAAACAATAATCAACTACTTTATCCAATTTGTCTAAAAATTTCACATCTGATTCTTTAGCTAAATCAAAAATTCCATAACTTAAAATAAAACAATCAATATGCTACACATGTCCTTTAAAATGTGCTATTATCTAAAAATTAGACGCAAATATGACCATTACTTACGTTGCTTTATAAGTCTCCTAAAAATTGCTTCATCTACTACTATATCTAAATATTCCTATGTATGTAAATTTAAATCATCTATATACATTTTTGTAAATTGAAATATTTCTTCATTTGAGTTTGAAATTCCTCATACGTCTAATATTACTATATTTAGTGAATCCTTAGAACATCTATGCTTTACCCTTTTCAAAATTTTACAATGAATAGTTGTCATATCAAAATTCTTATTATAAAGGAGTTGTCTGTTTTCATTTATATAAAAATCAAGAAGATCATCTACAATTTCATCAAATATATCTAACATATCTCTTATCATGTTATTCATACCAAAAAGCCTATTTAGAGAAGTAATAGTTTTTTCATCATCAGGACTTTCATTTAAAGAAATTGGCATTTTAATTTGAAATGCTATTCTAAGAGTTGTATGAGAACTGTTACAAGTGGTATCAAATATATTACCATATTTAAAAGTCTTTTCTTTAAAGTCGATATTATTAATGACTGCTAGATTTCAGAGATTAGGATTTTTTTTACAATCTTTAAGTTGGGTCAACTTCAATCATCTGCTGTTTCTCTAGTCATTTTTCATTATACTCTGTATGATCAATAATATTAAGATTTGATAAAGGTTTCAAAATGATAAAAATAGTCTAGGTTTCTGAGATAAGCTAACTATTACTTAATTAAACCAAATACCAAAAGAAGAAAATGTTATACCAATAATAATTAAAACAAAAAAAGTGGTAATTTTAGTTATATATTTATAATTAATAATGTTTGTGATTTTTTGGTGTTGCATTCATTTAATATTTGAGATAACTAATTTTTTTTAAAAATTTCACTTAAAAGTTTATCAAAAAAAATTAGTTAAAAATGCCAGAAAAGTTGCATGATAATGTGAAAGGGAGTCTAGTAATTGAATTTCTAATTTTCTTGCTATTAATGCTTTTCGGGAATTTCAAACTTTTTTTGTTAATTTAATACTGATTTTCTTCTATTTGACATCATTCTATTCCAGTTCTGATTCTGATTTAATATATTTTTTCACTTGATTTGAATGCATTAACATTTCTAAAAAAAAAAAACTAGGTATTTGGAATAAAAAAGGAATTGTTTTTGTAGAATTCAGAATTATGGATTTAGAGACATTGTTATTGTTATAATAATAATCATCCTTTGGAATATAGTATGTATATTTTAAAGAAAATGTTTCTGAAGGAGTATACAAAAAATTGATTACTGGAACTAACATGTATGTTAGAATTTTCTTTTTTTGATCCTTAGATTTAGTTTGTGCAATTTAATAAAGCCATTATGCTAATAATTCTATACTCTTTCCTGAATCATTAATATACCAATTTTTTCTATACATATAACAATTCGTTTTCCAGATTCAGGTCGACAACATAATTTCTACCCTTAGATTCATAATATTTATAACAAATATATCACGTAATACTAATATCTTTAAAGTTTCGTTTAATAATTTCTTAGTATTAATGCAATGAATTACAAGTAAAGAGTCTAATACAAGGTATTTGAATGTTCCTCCTGAAAATATTCTATGAATGTTTTTTACATTCAACCCTACGACCAAAGAAATAAAAGTTTTTATAGCAAAATAAATATCGACATCGCTAATTTCACATTGTTGAATTTTTTGCATTTATTTTGCTTTAATACTATGATTCTTTTGATTATAGTTAAAATGTTGCATACACACACCTAATGCTAATCGATCTGCCTCAAATTCTATTGCTGCATTTGTATCAATTTACCAAATACTAATTAATTAACAAATATTTTTAATATTCTCTGTTTTACCACAAGTTTGTAATTTACCATCTACTAAATCAACAAGAATACATGATGATAATAAAGTTGTTGAATTTGATTCACAAATTGGTTTGCTTTGATCTTTAATAGGTATTAGAGGTGAAGTTTTTATTGATGTTAACGGATGTGAAATTCCTGTTAATATTGACAAAGGTAAAATATCTGTTAGTATTAGTGAAGGTAGTGGTGGTGGTAGTGATTGAAATAGTAGAGATGATGGTGAAGGTATTTCCGTATCCTCAATATCATCTTGATAATTATTATTTACGTTACTAACTATAATTTCTTGTCAAGCTCTGATTGTGCTTTAATATATATTTTTGGTTAAATACAAATGGTTTTAGTTTAGGTAGCTCATTAAATGCTTGTTTATCAAAAGATTTTCAACTTGCGTTAGAATCATAGTCAGGGAAGTTATCACTTTCTTCAAAGTCATGAAATTCTGTTTTATTTAATATTTGGGTATCTTTTTCTGTAAAATTAAAATTAAAAGAAGAGCTAACCTTCTCTATTAATCAAATTCATTCAAAATTTGCCAATGTTAATTCAAGAGATTCTCGTAAAAGAAAGCAGTTAAAGAAAAGTATAACTGAAAATAAAAATAGTTATCTTCAAATTATAAACAGACCCACTTGATTAACTGTGATACATAGATTAATTTTAGTAAAATGGATCTGAAAGATTGCATATTTTATGCTTATTTATATGATTTTGAGACATTTTTATTATGATAATGCAAGTTATCGATCATATAATAGATTATTTTAACATGCAAATCATCAGACATTTCATCTGACTGATATGTTATTTAAAATCTATTTAAATAATATAATTTTTTTTTTGATATTAAGTATTACATATAAAAAAAAAATAAAAAATATTATACAAAATAATTGATAAAAATTATAAATTTTTAATTAAAAATAAATATTTATTCTTTTAATATAATAATCAAACTATAAAAATTTAATAAAATTTTATTAATATTATAATTTAAAATAATAATAAATTTTTTTAATAATTATAAAAATTTTTTTTTAATATTTATTATAAAAATATATTAAATATATCTTTATATAAAACAAA